AAAATGGACAGAAATGTAGATGGAAAAGGTAATTTGAACTTGCTCCCTTTATTTAGATCTAATCGCTTTGTCATTACTCTACACTGCAGATCAGTATAGATTTAATTGGAGGGCTCGACACACAACCGCAATAGTAAGAGAGGTCCTGTACTGCTGGGGAGGAGACCAAGGATTAGATGAATCACAATGCGATTGCAGCGGTGATTTTCCTAAAAAGAGACAGCATATTTCTGTTATTGATGAGTTTGACTTTTCATCTGGTGTTTGGTCCTCTCAACCTACTAGAGGTACTCCTCCATTGGGAATCAGAGGAGTCTCCTGTACCACCATTAATAATAATATTTATTATTTTGGTGGTTTTTGTGGCCATGGCAAATGCTACCATAACAGTTTGAACTGTTTAGACACTTTAACTCTTCAGTGGAAAGAATTAAAACCAACCGGGGACAATTCTGTGACTAAGAAAGGCTATGGTGGTATGATAGCAATGGGAAGTGAAGGTGAACCTCAACAGTTACTGGTTATTGGTGGACTGGCTCCTAAATCAACTACTACAGAGTATCATCAGTTTGACTACCATAAGATACCTAGTCGGGTTGATCGTTTTAGAACTAATGAACATAATATCTATAATTTGTCTAGTGGTAAGTGATTTGTTGCATTGTTATATATTTTATAGTCAGTATTGTTGCTAATATTACATATTACAAATAAATTGCATCTATGATTGTATCAACATGAAATTACTCTAGGACAATGGATTGTTCCGTTTGTTAATGGAGAATGTTTTCCACCAACTGATAATTTCATACTTGAAAGGATCAATCATTATAAAGGAATTATGTATGGAGGCTCAGTAACTGATGGTGGTAAAAGTATACCTACTAACAGTATCTACTTGTTTGAGTTATCATGTAATACAGTAGTAAGTTATACACAAGAGAACTTACAATTACAGAATAATAGAATTAATTTTGACAAAACTATTATTCTCAATACATGAATGCATTATCATGCAATGTCATTATGTTTCTAGAACTGGGAGTCTCTTAGCAAAGGAGCAATACCTAATGATGGACTCTGGACTAAGGGGAGATATGCTCATGCCAGTACTATCATCAATGGTGCCTCTATCTCACCTGCACTAGTAGTGATTGGTGGAGTGTGTAGTGATGATGAATTAGTGAATGAATGTTTGTTATTAGACACAAATCTGTGCAGTTGGATGAAGGTATTAGAACATTATTATTGTGTGAATTGACTTAAAATTTTTGATATAAATAATTTTATTACTTTGTCAGCAGCAGACTCAGCAGATGCAGAGTTGTTTAGCAAGTGGCTGGAAAAATTAATTAATAATTATGTATTTTTATCTACAATATTTTCCAGTTTTTTGGTGCTAAATGATAAAAAATTTTGGTCCCAATTACCCAGCCTTTCAGCTACACGTGCAATAAGATATGTGTACCCACCTTGGTGTACATGCATGGTATATGTATATAATAGAGTACCAGCTTTGCTAACTCTGCATTTCTTATTTTCTACAGATTTAATTACTCTTTTGCTTCTTGTTTTTTAATTGAGTATTGCCCCTAAATGCTAACCCTATAGCCTCCTACATCAAACTATTTAATAACTACCATATAGCGGGTTTATTTCAAGCATAACAGATTTCACGAATCTTGCAGATTTTTCAAGATTCGCGAAATTAAATTCCTCAAAAATCAATTTAATACAGTACAAGATGGCAGGATAGTAAAAATTCGTGAAAATTAATTCCGCAAACTTCCGGATACGGGTTGCTCGCGAAATTTATTATCCTCAAAATAAACCCACTATATGGTAATACCGTATACTGGTTCATTTTCGCGGCGGAAAATTTTCACGAATCTTGCATTTCTAAGATTTCGAGGAATTAATTTTTGCAAATTGCTTGCAGACTGTGCCACATGGCAATGGAGAGCAGAATTTTGTGGTGAAAAATTTTTGCGAATGATCACCAAACCGCGAAATTTGCAGAAATATTTTACCACGAAAATAAACCAGTATACAGTACCAGCTTTATATCACTGTAAATTGTATATTCTATTTATTTTCTACAGATTTCTCTACCTGATTCTGTTACTGGTAGATACTATCACACTGTATCATCTTTTGTTGTTGATCCTAATCATGTGTTCCTGATAATAGTGGGAGGTTATGCAAAAAAGAAGCTGGAAGCTGTAGGAGGAGAAATGAAATGGATAAATAAGCCTCTCACTGATCTTAATATTATGACAATGGCAGTAGAACTAGGTAATGTAATAATTACATTTATTTATAATAATTTTACAAGATAAACACTTTAAATATACATCATGTACTATCATTTTTCAAAGTAAAGCCATTCATATTTTATTGCTTCCTTCTGTTCATTTCTCTCCCTCACTCAATTGCTAACTTATTTTACTCTCATGCAGTTTTTAATGATAGTCAATGGTCAGTGAGATCAGTCAATAGTGGCAATAGTGGAATGTCTAGAATCAACAACCAATTACTTCAAGAAGAACTATTGAAGATTAAGTCAGGTACAATTTTAGTCTGATTAAATATATATTTATATCAAGAACAAATCATTAATTTTGGCTTTGAACCTGAAATATTGTTAATGATTATGCTACATTAGTTACTATCAAACATTTCTCATTTTTAAGCACATGCATGCATGCATACTTTAGTAAAACTAAATTTTCTTATTAGCACCCACTTTACGCCAATAAAGCACGAGTATACCAAGTCGTATAATTTTATCTCATTAATTAATTTTTTATGTATTTTATAATTAAGAGAAGAGAATGCTAGAAACACAACTACTGGAAACTAAGACTCTTCTTACCAAACGAAAGAGAGATCAAGAGGACTCACCACACTCAGGTAATCATAAAAATAACTAATCTCTTGAGAATAATTAAGAATTTAATTTTTCTACAGATCATGTTAAGAAGCTTAAAATTGATGAACTAGAGGTATCAGTTGAGGAGAAACAAATAATGACTGGTTAGTGTATCATCAGATTATGAGAAAATATTCCACCAATGTAAAACTAGAACATAATGAGAAACTTAGAGCTACATCAGTTGCTGAAAATGAAGTATATATGACTGAAATAGAAGATGAGAAGAAACAAGTGCAATTTATCAAAGAGACTAGTTCTGTTGAAGTTCAGTTTAACTACCTAATACCATCAATGGGTAAGATATATATGACATGAGTGTGAATTAATCAATTGATAGATAATTTGGAATGTCTGAGTGATGTCCAGATAGCAGAGAAGAAGCTGTTCTTAATTCAAGGAGACAAAGCTCAACTGATGAATTGGGAGGAATATGGTCTAAGGATTGGAGTACAAGAAGGAAGCCTATTGTCCTCTGAGACAGTAGAAGCAGCAGTGGTTGCTCTTATAGGAGGACAGTTCGAGTTTCCTCCTAATACTGTCCTAGTGAGTGCTGTGTATGCAGTATCACTCTCAAAGCCTCTCCTCAAACGACTCAAGTTAGAGATACAGCACTGCGTTGATTTAACAGGACGACCAGATCTTGCACAATACTTAAAGTTTGCTATAGCTCCAGTCGACACACCCAGTCTTCCTTACCAGTTCTCAATAGTCAAAGGAGGAGAGTTTAGCTCTAATAGTGGGTATGGATTCATTCAACGCAATAAGTTTTCTTTGGTTTGTATACTGGGAGAAGACTCAACTAATGGAGACACAGAGGAAGGAGAAGAGAAAGAGAACAGACAGCTAACTCAACAAGATGAGAATGGTGAGGAAGAGGAACAAGATGAGGAGAGAGAAGGAGAAGATAGTGATGGTACTAGTGACCATACCAGCAGTACTCCATCAGAGGCTAGTGGAGCATGTAAAGGTTAGTTAGTGAGTCTATTGATGATAATGTAATGTATTCCACTACTGAATAGAGTCTACTACTGAAGAGACTAACCTCCCAATCAATACAGTGTCTGTTGCTGGTCCTACTATTACACCAAACACTGATCATGTTAACAGTAAGTACATGTACAGTTGTACACACTCTCTATCACTAATATCATAATTATATTAATTTTTATAGAAGTACAGTCCACTGGTGTAAAGGAGGCTATGAGGTATGCTGGTTTGATCTATTATCAAGAGAAAGGTGTAGAGGATCTAGTGACGTTTGCTGCAGCCAGGGACTTGAATGCTCTCATTGAGGTAAGTGTGTCCCTTGTATATCAATCATTGATTAATGTTTTATGAATTTACAGTTTATTAAAAAGGATTTTCCTGGAGCTGAGAGAGGACAACATGTTTATTTTCATTTCAAAGATAATGATGGATGTATGGAGCTAAAGTTTGATACTCCACAAGAGAAGGATACTACTGGTTGGACTATTGACCCTCACATTAAACCATGCCGAGTAAGTATAACAGTATTATGGTAAATACTGTAAATTATTCTATCTCTTAATAGTTACATCGTTGTGATGTTAACGGGTTTGGTGAAACTAATTATCCTCTTCCTCCATCTTGCTTTATATCCGTTCTTGCTTCACCTAATGCTGTCCCTACACTACATTACTCTGTACCACTGGAAGGTGTGGCTGATCCTGTTTCATTATATATCCGTAGATCACTACAAAGAAATGCTCCTCCTTCAACAGGTAATATTTTAATGATTTAAAGTCATTTATTTATTTAATATTAATCAGATCCTACTAGATCTACCTCCTCCTCTAATGTAGTACAAGAATTAACGCCAGTATCATCCACTGGAGGAGCTAGTAAGTGATAATACTGTGTGCATGACCTTTGACCTCCATCAGGTGTATCAGCTACTGTTGATGTTGATAAAGTTAAGAAGGTGATCAATGATGTTCTAGTATCTCATTATGCTGATCTTACTTCACTATCAAAGGAAGCTGTCCCTGATCTTGCAGATAGATTATATGCACATCATTTGATCAACAATGCTGTTAAAGACAATCCTTCTATAAACAAGTGCATTGATGAGTTCAGGGCTAGTCTTATTTTTAAGAAAAAGTTACCTCAAATGCAGGAGCACTGTCAAAAGTTTTTAAGCTCATTCATTGCTGTAAAAGGCAGTTATGCTGATGCAGCAATAGCTTTAGGTGAGGACTGGATTGAAGCTATTAGAAATGAACTGGGATTTCACTTTAATATTAGTATTGAGCCATAGATATAGTCTGTGGCATTTTCCATTGACTTCAGTTTTAAAAGCTATTTAATTTTTATCACTGTATTATATGTATTGTATAATGTTTAAATTTAGCTATGTAATGTTCCACTCTTCTGGTCTATATTGTTCTTTCCTTTCACTCCAACTCTTTCATTTTTCATTGAAACTGTCTTCTTCTCTGAATTTACATATTTCTGTCTATCATTCCTAATATTATACAAAGAAACAAAAGTGAAAACATAAAAGCACCAACATGAAATAAAGCAATAAATCATACATGTATGTGTCACTACATGTTGCATAATGTATTATTACTGGTATCATTAGTACCTGCTCATCTTCACTTTGTTACGGCAGCCTTGACCTCCTTCCCAATGTGATGAACTCTTACTTTGTGTCATATCAGAACCACAAGACACACAAGGATTACTGCCATTATAAGCCTACAAATAAAATAATAACAGAATAATAATAATAATAATAATAATAATAATAATACAAGTAGAAGAAATCAGTTTATATCATAATCTATGAAAGAGTATAATGTACTTGTTCTTTGGAGCAGTATCCACATATCATTCTGTTAGCTCTTTCCATTGGATGGTCTTCAGTTGAATCATGACACACATCACAAGGAAAGGCTTTACCAC